GAATAAAGGATTTAGGTTTATTGAAATCATTTTTAGGAATAGAAGTGTTACCTGTAAATGGTGGTGTTTTATTAAATCAGAGGAAATATTGTTTGGAACTTTTACATGAGTTTGGAATGTTGTGCAGTAAACCTATTAAGACACTTCTAGAAGTTAACTTTGTTTTTAGTTGTGATTGTGATGATAATTCTGATTACACTGTTAAAATTATTGAGTTTCAGAAACTTATAGGAAAATTGATCTATTTGACTATGACCAGACCTTATATAAGTTATGTTGTACAAGTTTTAAGTCAATATATGCATAAACGCCGTTAGTCACATCTAAATGTTGCGATACTTAAAAAATTGTCTTGGAAAATGTGTTTTTTTCTAAGTCAAATTCTTTTGATCTTGTTGCTTATGTGGATGTTGATCGGGCTAAATACCTATCAACCGGAAGGTCTGTTACTGGTTATTTGGTATATTTCGGAGGTTCGTTAATTTCTTGGAAAAGTAAGAAACATAGCACAATATCCAGATCTTCTACTGAGTCTGAATACTGTGCTTTGGGTTCTATCACATGTGAGATTTTATGGATTTTGAAAACTTTTATGATCTTGGTCATGAAGATTTCTCTCCTGTTAAATTGTTTTCTGATAATGAGTCTTCAATAAAGTTAGCGTTAAATCATGGTTTTCATGAAAAAAAAACTAAATATTTCGAAATAGATGTTCATTTTGTAAGAGAAAAAATTGAAAATGGAGTTTTAAAAGTTATTAAAATTGATTCTTCTGATCAGTATGCTGATATTCTGATTAAGTCTAACATTTGCATAACATATTTTTTATCAAATAGACTCAGCCTTATGAATATGTTTATAGGTAAGTGATTTGTTGTAGTCTCAAATGATAAGTTTGAGAGGGGCTGTTGAAAATATTAACCAACAAATACAAACTTATCATTTGTGGGGTTTGTGAGTCTTAATTTATGATTACAGGATATATTGTGTAAGTTTCTTGTATTTGTAGGGTGGTTTGTGTATGTTTATGCAGGTAATTAGATAACGTAGGTTTGTTGATCCAAATCCGATCTGTGGGTCATCCATGGCTTGATATTTTACCCCGGGTATTTAATGTTTTGAAGCTGCTCATTTCGTTCATAACTCAAGAATTAAGTTGGATTGATATTCTCTCATTTTTACTCTTCGTCTCTAGATTAGGGTTTCACATTTAAACTTCTTCTGTGTAGATTCTTTTCTTGTAAACGTTTGAGCGATTGAGTGTGATTGTAGTGAGGATTTTCTTTGTATTTGTTTGATGAAAACCAATTGTTTCATAGTGCATGAAATGTCGATGTTGGGAATGTGTTGAGTTCTTGAGTTTATATTTTGTTACAGGTTCTAACAACGACGTGAACGTTCTTGACCAGTCACCAATATTCGATGATATTTTGTTAGGAAAGACACTGAATATTCATTTTACATTGAATGGAAATAAATATATGTTTGGGTATTACCTTACGGATGAAATATATCCATCATATTCCACATTTGTGAAGGCGTTTCGACACCTAATGGAACCAAGAGACAAATTTTTCAAGAGAAAACAAGAAGGAGAACGTAAGGATGTGGAACGTGTTTTCAGAGTTCTAAAATCGAAATAACACATAGTTGAACATGCGACATGACCATATCAGTTAGAAGTTCTACAATATATTATGTACGCATGTATCATAATGCATAACATGGTGGTTTAAGATAAAAGACGAAATAATGTGGAGTATTCGGCTTCGGAGCCCAGTCACATGTAATTTCAACCCGATACATCGGAATATTTACATAGGACCATCAATATTCAAGACACACTAAAATACAAACAATTTTGAGAAGATTCGGTTGATTTTATGTACGGTGAAAATGAAATGAATAAATTAGAGGAAAATTTTATTTGCTGACACCATGCTCGACCATCACCCTGCCATCAACACAACATCTATCGATGCCCTTATCGTCTCCATCATTCAACGTCACCACCAACTGTCACCATCTCTTCTCCCACTCTGTTAGGTGAGTCGATTTCTATCATGCTATTCTTTTAGGTCATTTGAACTCATCTACACAACCATAATTTTATTGAAGAAGATGAAACCTTGGCTTCTTCAACACTTTCTGCTTCCAACGCCTATAAATCCTCTCTGTAAAAGAAACCTAACTCTTTCCCCTTTCACACTGTGGGTCTAACTATTGTTTGTGAAAAAACAATGTGAGTTTTTGTCATATATTGCATCTGCTAATTTTATGGTTGAATTTAGGATTACGACAATTGGAAGTATTGTCTGTAAGATGCTACTATAATTGCCCATTTTACCCCTCTTCTCTCTCTCTCTCAAATTAAGTATGTTGCTAATGTTTAGTAGTTTCTTACAATTTTGAGGCCTATACATGGTGTCTGTAGAAAGACAAACACAAAACAGTGACAAGATGTTGACCAAATCCATAAGTGTTGTTGAAGCAAAAGCCAACACCAGCCGCACAGTTTGATTGCCTCATTTACTATCTTTTTTACTCCAACTAAACGGGTAACAATTATGCATTGGAACCTTTCCTTTAGACAATGAATTTAACTCTTTTCAATTTTCTGTTGTCTTTGAAGGAAGATTTGAACTCAGAAGGTTACTTCAGATTTGGTATATAATTGAAGGAAAATTAGGCTTTTTAAACACCTTGAAATTTGGTTTGTTATGTCTACCTTATATTGTGATATGATGAATTGTTTATCAATTTTTTTACATATTAACTCACATAATTTTTTGTTGGTCTATTTTTTGTGAATTAACCTTTTGCTAAGTTTGGTCAATGGTTGTTGTTAGCGCTATAGTGGATAGAGGCACACCATGGATTGAGATACTTCAAGGGAATGATATTAGGAGCCCATCATCTGATGGACAAGTGAGAGATTTGATTATAATATTGAAAGTTTTAGTATGAGCTTGGAGCCATGGCTTGAGCATATCCAAAGTGGATAATTAGGAAATTATGGTTCTATACATCTACTTTCATTTTATTGTTTACTATAACATCTAACTTTCATTTTTTTTCTATTATAACATCCAACATTTAGGAAAATTGTGTAAAGTGGAGGGGGTATGGAGAATACTCTATGTGTATTGTTGAAAACAAAGTTTGTTTCTATGTTTATGATGCTAGAATGCAGTAAAGGGTATAACTATCATTTATGAATGCCATAAATGCATTGAAAGTTGTTTTCTTTATGTTGAAATTACAACATTAATTTTCAAAGAAAGTTTCTTTGATTTTTTTGCAGGGGACTTTGGGGGTTTTGTAAAGGATAGAATGGATATATTATAGGCAGTAGGTCTATTTATGATAAAAGGTTACGTTTTATTTTACTTTTCACTTGACATCCTATTGGCTCACCGTCCACATAAATGATACTACTTATAACATCAATATTATATTATATATAATTGTATATGTTGGTAACTACTTATTGTCTCCATTGATATTTTAACACGTATTAAAATATATATAGTATTTGATGTTGAATATAAGTAGGCCTAGAAGAAAAGAAGATAATCTGAAACATATAATATTGTAAATGTTAATTTTAAAAATAAATGGACAAAATATAGCTTTTAAGTGTTAATTACACATACATTATTCAATAATACGTAACCATATACAAATACTTTTAAAAGTTGTCTTAATTGGGATTAGAAATTAGATTAAAAGGTGGATTTTTCATGATTCCATTCAACCTTTGGTTAATCATTTGGTTGAACATGGGTTTATTTTTTTTATTTTTTATATTACACTAGTACAGAGAAGAAATAGTATAGGATCGATGTTATTATTAAAAATAGTTATTTGTTTCTAAATGTTAGTTTTAAAACATTTATTTTAAATACATAAGTATCTAAATTTTTTTTTGGAGAATGTCCTTTTTTGAATAAAAGGGTAAATCCTCAAAAGTAGACTGGATTGTTTAATTTCGATAATACAATTGGTATCATTAAGAAATTTATGGTTAATTCTTATAATTTGAATGAAAAGGTAAATACCCATCAACCCACAATTTACTTACTTGAGTGTATAACATCAACAAACTACACATCAAAAATCGATATATAAATTGATGTCTGAAAGCCAAAATAGTGGATTCAACCCAAAATAGGAACATACCTCATTGTTAATCGTTACGCAACATATATTACAAAACTACTAATCACTGTCCAAAATCTATTTGTATTTGTTGAAATGATGTATGTGTTGCATCGCATGGTTGTTTCATAACTATTTTTAATTATCAATATTATTTTCGTTTCTTATCCGTGATTTCTATTCATTAAGCATGAGTGGGATTTCCCAATCAAGAACATAAAATAAAGAAATTATATCTCACTAATCAATATTGGTTTTTACCGTTTTACGAATTAAGTTAAGTGTAAAATACAGTACAAGAAATTTATTGGTATTGCAGATGTTGAAAACAAAAACTCTAAGTTGCATTATATTTTGAATACACAAAGAAATATAATATCAACAAGACTTTTGACTTAATAATTTTACTTGCAGAGGAAATAAAAGTTTTTGGATCAAATTTACATGGTGGGTTTAACTTTCCAAAATTTGTTTTCCGTTGGAAATTCGGTATTCAACGTCAAATTCATGTTGTTATTTATTTAACTATTAATATGGTACTGGTTTCAAATGAATATTATTAGAGAAAATTACACGAATGGTTCATGTGGTTTGTGGTTACTTGCATGCTTGGTTCCTAGAAAGATTTTTTTAACTCGGACCGTCTCCGAAACTTTAATTTGTTACACGCCCTGTCCCTCTCTTAATCTTTCCGTTTGTTTAGGTGTTAGTAACCCCCATACCGGGGGCATTTTGGTCCTTTCACCATCGCAAGGCCTCTAAAACCCACATGTTTCATTCTTTGTGGTCATTGTAGCCCTTTGTGCCTTGAGAATTTGGAAAGATGGGTCGGCTTGTAGATGGATCAAACTTCCATTGAAGATATTCTCATTCTTAATATGGGGTATTCAAGTGAGACACTTTATGAGATCGATTGTGTTCAAAGGATGCTTGATCATTTCATGGTTGCAGATCAAGATCACGTTCAAGATGGAAGTGAAATTACTGATTCGAGTTGCTTAGAAGACAATGATGATGATTTAATCAAGAATTCTTACTCGCTTACACTCGTGATGATGGTGGCTAATCTCATCGACAACTATCTTTCTGAGGTGGCATCTGATGTTAACTTAAAGCTCAAAAAGTTTCAATCTTTGGCTGCTACTGTCCCTGATTTCGCAAGGTCAATCGATGACAAAATGTATCAAGCAATAGATATATATCTCAAGGTACGATTGATTTTTAAAGTCAAAATTAAGATGGAATTTGTTAGAAATCCAGGATAAAGATTTTCTTAAACGTAATATTTGCAATCATATAAAGAGGGACAAAATATTTTTCAATTTAGTCATAGAAATTTCTGAAATGTTGAAGTGGAAGTTCGAAGTCAAATGGTGAAACATTGTAATCGTAATTTTACAGGCACATCCATGGGTGATAGATTCCGATCGGGAGCTACTCTGCCGGTTAATGGACTGCCAAAAACTATCACTAGAAGCCAACACACAGGCCACCCAGAATGAGAGACTGCCGCTCCGTTTCATAGTTTTGGTTCTCTTCTTCGAACAGCTCCGGTTGCAGATATGTGTCGCCGGCTACTTATATGTCTCTGATAACTACAACTCACAGGCACACACACCTGAGCAACAGCAGCATGGTGCCACCGGAAAGTGGGAATATGCACCTTTTTCCCTTCGTCTGGATCGCATGCCCAAGAGAAGAATATGAAGGGAAGAAGTGAGAAGAAAATTTTGAGAAAAAGAATGAACGAGGTGGGTGAGGTGGGTTTTTAGAGGCTTGAAATGGTGAAATGACAAAACTACCCCCACTATGTGGGTGGCTAACACCTAAACAAATGGAAACGTTAAAAGAGAGATTGGGCGGGTAACAAATTAAAGTTTCAGGGATGATCTGGGTTAAAAAATCTTTCTAGAGACCATCCGTGTAATTTTCTCATTTAATTATATTATTAAATGGACAAGTTAAAGCTAACCCACTTAGCTAACAATATCTCTAACAAAGTATTTCTAACAATGATGTCATGAATTCAATGTCGCATATATATTAGCTTGCCATTCTAAAAATATTTGCAAATATTATTAAATGGTATGTGTTTACATGTCAATTTGGTATAAGAGCACTTTATGACAGATCACGATTTCCATAAACCTATGTGACATTCCAAATTTTTGTGAAGTTTCATCTCAAAATGTACACTTATTTTTTAGGCAAACATTCTTAAATTTTATGTTTTTGATAGATAAATCAAACATAAGGTTACATGTTAGCAACTTTTAAACAACTATGAGACTCACATTTTTAGGGCCCTTAAATCGTATCATAAAGACAAAATTGTATGCAAAAAATGTTTACTTTATCAAATTATATTTTACGGAATAATGTTCAAAATGATGTTTTAAGGGTTTATGTAAAAATGTTTACTTTATCAAATTATATTTTACGGAATAATGTTCAAAATGATGTTTTAAGGGTTTATGGTATACGTTTATTATCAAATATTCAAACATTTATCAAATCAATTTATTTATTTAAGTAAGCTCTACTATTCTCTTATAAGTAAATTTGTAAATGTTGATATTAAAATAATCTTACTTGCAATTTGTCATTTTTCATAATACAACTATATTAAACTCACAACAGGGATTCAAACCCAACAACATCAGATGTTATCTTTCTTTTTTCGAAATCAAAAGTTTAAGTATCCTCTAAATCATATGTTGAATTAATAGTATTTTAGGACTACATTTGATTTCCTCCCAAAAAAAACTATAGAAACCCTTCCATCGAATCAAATATATTGTTAATAATATTTGTAACTACAGATTGTGATGCACATATATAATGAAAAATAACGAGGTCCAACATATATAAAAAATTAAACAAAAATAGAAAATGTATAATACAATCTAGAATTTGAAGATTTTTTAAAAGTTTTTACATAAAAAATAGTGTCAAGTAAGGATTTTTATTTTGAGGAGAAAAAAAAATGGTGTCAAGCACGGGTTATTTGAACAAAACAGTGTAGGGAGTTTGCCCCACTTCCAAATAGGGACCATCACCCCTTTTACTATATTGGATCCACCCCAGATTCTTGGTATTGGATAAATTTTATTGATAAAAATTGTATAAACGAAATAAGCCAAATTCATATTCATATCACATGTTATCGTCACATTAATTGGGTATTTCTGCAGGGGTCTGAAAGTCTCCCAAGTTGCCTTTCACTTGGAATACGAAAAACTATGGCCCACTACCGAATAGGTACCTGTTAACCCAAACCCACGTATAAGGAATGTTTTTGGTTTTGTCTATACCAAGTGTACATATTAATACAAAAAAAAATAATAATAATAAGTAAATAAATTAAATAGTTGTATTTTTATCATCAGAATTGTCCCAGATGTGTCGTATAAAAAATACATTTAAAGGGTTGTAGATTATCCAAAAAATGGCTTAAAACAAATACATTAAACTACTTTCAAAAGAAGTGATTTGCCTAAAAATAAGCAGCTCCATATTTTTCATATTTAAAAATAAAAATATGTCTTAATCGTAGGAGAAGCAATACATTGCAAACAATGAAAACATATAATACTTTGTCTTTTTCCAAAATGTGGTCTATGTTTAGCCATCTTCAATGAAAATGCACATGGAGAGGATGGGTGCACATACAATTATGCACATGCCATTCTTTGGTTCAGGAAACATACATATAGAAGTATGGATTTGGCTTTTCTAATAAATTTTAGGAATCAAGTGTGTATGTATGTATATATATATATATATATATATATATATATATATATATATATATATATATATATATATATATATATATATATATATATATATATATACTATCTTATAAAAAAAATCCCACTATTTCTAAAAATAAATTGAATATAATAGTATTATTTTTTTAAGACGTTCAAATCATTAAACTAATAGTACAAGTAGTTATTAATAAAATAATATTAAATTTTAACCTGTGTTTTGAATCCTTATATTTCTCAACAAATTTTATCTTCTTCCATGAATTTCGGATAATTCAAAATTTGAAACCATCAGAAAATACATGTTGATTCAAATATTCATCCTGCAGATGACTATTTCTTAACAGGTTTTTATTTTAATCCTTACTTGTAATTGATTTCATCATTTTTAACTTTTTGTATTTTTATCTTATAAGTATATTGAGTGAAGGCTTTATTATATCAGGTTTGTTCCTAAAAAGGTTTTTACTATGTTTCTTTAATGTGTTGGCTTTGCAGGTTTAAAGAACTCAACCAAGAGGGCCAGTTAGAGCATTGTATTATCATTAGTTTGTATATTTTGGCATCTTACTTTTGCAATAAAGAACGGTTAAACACAAGATTTGACATGATTAAGGTAGTTTGTATATTTTTCATCTTGTTTAGTCTAAAAATGAAACCTTTTTCATCATTGGTACTTATAATATCAAGTTTCATCACATGAACTTTCTGATTACGGTAATTATTGTCCTTATTATAAGGTTCTATATAGATTTTTTTGTTCAATATTTTAAGGTTTCGAGAACCTAAATCAATATGAATCCTTGAATTACATACCATCGTTGAAAATGTTTTAATTTGTGACCAAACTTGGTTTAAAATCACAATGAACAAGTTGACACCTGAGTATTTTGGCCTTCTCAAAGGCCTATTTATCGACTTTTGAATCACAACACCTGATATTCTAAAGGTTTATTTTTATAAACTATTATTTATATATTTTAGCATTTTACTTAGTAGGATATTAAATTAATAAAGGAATTAAGGGAAAAAAAAGAGGACGATAAACAGTGTGACAACCTGAAATTTCTATTCTATACAAACCATATCATGTGAATAGTAGTCAGATCAGTTGCAGTAAATTTTCAGACTTTTAGTATAAGTTTGAGTATTTCAGGATTTTACACTTAAAAGGAGATATCAGGAGAAATGATGCACTATGGTTTCGTGCAAACTCAGTTATTTCAAAAACTCTATGATATTAGAATCCATTGCCTGAATAAAATATTTTCTGCCAAAAATCCCATGACTATATATATGAATCTTAGAAATATTATTTCATTATTTCCATTTCCAACTAGAGAAAAGCCATTTTCTCTCTCTCGGATCTTCGGGTTTTCATCCCAAATCGTGAGTATCTCTCTCTAGTTGTATTATATGGCTTATGATGTGCTTAATAACATAGATTTCATAACAAAACAGCAAGATTCGAGAGTTTACCACCCAAGAATATCTTGGGGAGTAAACTCTTTTATAACGGTCAAATGGTGCCTAGTCCCTTCCTCAAGCAATGAAACTAGTTTGGACTTGTACCCTAATGAGTTTAGGGCTAGAAAACAACCTCAAAACACCAAGGACATGGTGTTCACGACCCAAGATCTTCTTGGACCGTGAACACTAAAATTAGGGCCAAGATGTGCCCAATGTCCCTCCAAACTTTGGAACTGGACCTAGAGACTACCCATGGCTTGTTTAGACATCAAAAACATTAAGAATCAAGGGCTAAAAGTGAGTTCACGGCCAAGGATGTTCTTGGGCCGTGAAATCCATTTTAAGTTGCCAAAATGCCCTAAATGCCTTCATTGAGCCAAGAGACTAGCATAACACATTACCTTGATGTGTCTAGGACCCCAAAAAAATCAAAATACCAACACCCATAGGTGTTCACGGCCGCAAAAACATGGCCAAATGGTCCATGGTCCGTGAACTCAAGTTAGGGGTGTTTTGATGCCACAAACACTTCCTAAGGCTTAGGCTTGAATTTAGAATGCTTCCTTATGACCTTTAGGACCCTCATAAACATAAAGGGCCATGAGTTTATGACAGTAAACTCATAAGGGCCGTGAACTCCTCAAAAACTCCAAAGAGGGTGGTCTTTTCATTCTAGGTTAGAGTCAATGTCCCTAAATCATTCTGTATCTTTCAAACTTGCATTCCCACATGAGTAGCCACGAGTTTACGGCCGTAAACTCCCTTGGGTCGTGAACTCATGGTAGTAAACTCATGTTAGTGCCTTTATACCTTCCTATGTTGAATCACATGTGATTCCAACACTTGGTCAAGGTGTTTCCTAGTCCCGGAAGGTGTTTCCTTTCATATAGATGTTATAAACACTATATTCATGTCAATATGTGTCCTTATATGTCATTTAGGACTTATTGTATCTCGGGACTTCATTCGTGGAACTTCTCATCCCTACACGTATACTCGTTAGAACCACTCACAACAGGTGAGTTCATACCCCTTAATCAATGATTTAAATGTTTTTAAATGCTTTAGGGGGGATACAAGTTGAATACTTATAGTTATTACATCAATCACATGTGATTAATAACTACAAATCCAGTGATTTTCTTACTGTTCAAACTGTTTATCAAACTGTATTACTTCAAACCGGTTTTACAAACTCTTTTACTTATCAAATACTTGTACTTAAACTCTTTTATACTTATTATCAATTGCATGTTTATGTATGTATAGTTATATAAGAAATGTTTAAAAGGCTTAGGAAGGCCTGCCCGCCCTATTTCCTTTTCGTCGTTGAGATGTGGTCTGGTGGGATATCGGGTACCCGTCCGAAAGTCATTTAAATATTAGTTATATATCATGTGTACATATATAGTCATAAAGGATCTTCCAGTTCATTTGGTACCCTTGGGTAGCAAGGGTATACTT